GGAGAGAGGATGTTTTGCCATGTGCAAACAGCACGCGGGAGCACAGGGGACTTGTTATCCCATCCTCTCCAGCTGTGGGGCTCAGCACGGGATGTGAGGGCACACGTGGTGTTTTCAGCCCCCAGGAGCTCAGGTCCCTTTGGGGTCTGCATGGGAGGATTGGAAACAAGAGAACAAAACACTGAGCTGCGTGTGAAATGCATGGCAGCTGAGCTGTGGTCGGGCACTGTTTGGGTGGCGCAATGTGGGCACGGCCAGACAGCACCCCCTGCAAATGTCAGACTTTGGGGGTTGGCTGCATTTGCGGTGTGTGCTGATGGCACTGCATGGGCTTCGTTGTGTTGGGCAGAGGGGTGATTTTTCCCTGGTGCATGATAGATTTTGCCCTAGCATGGGTCACGGAAAGCCCAACATTGATGGGTTTCATCTAATTTCAATTACAGTCATTAAAACTTTTGCTCGCACGAGCTGAGCCTTTCCAAAAGCTGTCAAATGACAGCCCATTAGAGAGCGGTTATTTATAGTGGGGAATGTTAATTTTACAGGATCACAGACCAGTGATTCAGTGCCTGGCGTTGCTGAAAGGAATCACTCACAGGAATGAGTGTTCACTGACATGAAAGCACCCCAAACCCACAACCTCTCGGCAGCAGAGCTCCAAGAATCTGTCAGAACCCATCGGCAGCAGCCTGGGAATTCATGGGCAAGCTGGGGAGGTTTGGGCTCTAAATCCATGGGGAGAAAGGAGAGCATCACACATTCCAGAGCCCATCAGGAAAAGGGCTTGTCTCCCCTGGCGATCCTTCTGCTGGGCTGGCAGCACTGTCCCTCCCTGCTTGCCCTGTGGTGATGCCACTCAGTGGCCCAGCAGCTCCTCTTGGCCACCTCTGAGCACTGGGGGGGGCAAGGAAAGAGGGACAGGATTGGCACAGCCCAGGTCAGGCTGATCTCTGCTCCCCTGTCTGCCCTGCTGCCTAATATCAAGCCCCTTTGGGCATGGGCCTCCCTCTTCCATCATTTCTCCAGCCCCTCCTGCAGCTCTGACCTTGTCTGAGCCACCGAGGCAATATAAAGTAATACGATAATCATAGCAATGATAGCAATAATCATAATAATAAGCCACGCTATGGCTAGGGCACCTGTCACCTAGGCATGTGAGTGCCTATGACAGCTAGCTATTACATACCTAGGCTAAGTGTAGTGGTGCCACGGCTGAGTGTTAACAGGAGAGCAAGGGAATAGGAATAGGGAATAGGAAATAGGCTATGATAGCACTGCTGGAGTCTGGAGGTCACTGAATGGCCCCCCAGACCCTGCTGGTAATGAATCAGCAACAACAGAGAGATGTTTTCAGGTATCTGCAGAGAGAAAGGAAGATGCTGTGCCACATCCCTGCAGGTCAGGTGAGGTTTTATTGCAGGATCAGCAGCAGTGAGGGACATCGCTGCAATTCACTCCGGCCAAGTTTATGAGAGGAGCAAGGCAGGGGCTCTGGGGCTGTGAGCACAAAGCACTGTTAAACCAATGTATCGAGGACGGTTTGGGCTCTGCCTCGCTGCAGGGCTGTAAATCTATTTGGGATGATTCGCTCACAGGGTCTGTGTTTGTGTCTATAAAACAGGGAGGGAGATAGCGGGGTGTTGGGGAACAATGCTATGGGTGGGGGAGAAAGGCAGCTGGGACACAGTGCTCTTGGGGTTCTGCACCACTGCACACATTATGGGCATGGCTCGTGGTGCAGCAGTTTTGCACACAGGGCTTTCCCCTGTATTTGGGTGCTTAAGTCTCCTATGTGGCATTTCCAATGCCCCAAAGCACAGTGTGGCAGTTTTCAATGACCATCAAACAGGGGAACTGCTGAAAATCTCCTGTCTGACCCCACCAGCATCAAAACGAGCCCCCCCAGGACCACCCACCACCCCGCCCAGCCCTTGTTCCTGCACCAGCTCTGCCACTTTAAGCTGCTGGAATAACTTCATTGCATGGACCGCTTCACCTCCTCTCTGTACCTGCAACTAAGCCCATCTCCCACTATTCCCTTTGATGACTTCTCTTCAGCTGCTGCAGAGGAGAAATGCTCATATCAGCAAACAGATGGCGGCTGAGGCATGTAGCATAAAATATATTTATCAAGGCAAACAGCTGTAGCCCATTTCATCCCAAAGATTTCTATTAAAAGTTCTCTGGAGCTACAAGCTGCTCTGACTTGCAACCGGAATAAAGCCGAGGGGACAAACAGCTTTTGCAAAGCGTTTCTTTCCCTCCCTTAGCTCTTTTCTTTGCAGCCTGAAGAAAACCCGACCCTGGCTTGAGGGAGCATGGGCACCGTGAGCAGCCCTGGGTGGCTGGGATGTGAGAGCTGAGAGCATCACTGCGTGTGTCCCTGAGGCTGGGGCTGGGCACGCCGTGCATGGAGCCGCAGGCTGGATGGGTTTTGCATCCAGAGATGCCTCTGCTTGAACCTGGGTTCAACCCAGACCCCAAAGGTGATTTTCTGCCCTTTCTATTTCACTCTTGGCTTTGTTTTCATTCTTAAGAGACCTTTGTGCCACATTTCCAAAAAAGAGACATTTGGAGGAAACGCAACGTTTTTCATAAACTCGGAGTAGATTTTTTTTTGGGCAGACATTACTTTCACAGTGTTGTAAAATTCCCAGCTTCTGCTGCTGCAACATTGACAAAACCATGAAATCCTCCTGGAATGGAAATTTCCATATTTCGTGTGAAATGCGCCATCCGAACGCTGAGCTGACGTGTTGGCTCCAAAATCATCCCAAAATGGGGGGTTCCCATTTTCATTTCTGCCAGAACCCTCACGGCTGTGGGAAGCCAGGGCAGAAAATATGCTGGGAGCAGAGGTGGACTCAACATCGAGCCACAGAGAAAGGCAAAACCAGAGTCCATTTCCCTCTGTGATGTATCTCTTTATGTCACCTGCTGCGACCCCCAGTTCCCCCTTTGCTCTCTGCCTGTGAAGCATCCCATCTCAGTGAGGAGCTGCAGATGGAGATGTACACCGCAGCCATCTCCCACCCATTGGTATTTCACCTTATCCAAAATAGCCCTAGCAAGCCAAACCATCGCTCTTTTCTTCTCCCCTCTCTCTCAGAAGACCTTTTCTCTTTCTTTTCTTTTCAGTGTGCGCACAGGATCGCAAACAGCATATGCGCAGTATAAAATATTCCTGGCAGTCCCTCCTTTTTAATTGCATGCTGCTTCCCCAGCCAACAACTACACGTTTCATCCCAAATTCAGCTTGCTATTTCGATCAAGCAAGCAGTGGGATGAGAAGTTTGCCCTAAAAATGTGCTCAGTGGAGTCGGGATGCCATATGTGCGTGGAGGTGCTGAGAGCTTGTTGGCTGCCCACAGAACTGGGAAACCACGTGGAAGGGGGCAGTGGGATTGGGGGGAGGCCAGAGGCCTGCCTGGCTCCTGCAGTGTCTGCATGACTCTGGATTATCTCATTCCTTCTCCTTAAAGCTTTGCTGCTGGAAGGATGCATTGCAGTGAGTTGGTGCAAACCCGGCTGGCGATGCTCCTGGAAGATGCAGGAGCTGTGAGCAAAGGGGGAGCAAAGGAACAAATCCCTGTGTTCCTACTTTAATTTATTGCCCTAAAAAACACCAACCAGGAGCCTTTAAATGAAGAAATGAGCTCGAGTTCACCGAATAAACCAGCCACATAGAAACGCTTCTGCCTCTATTCTGAGCAGAATTGCAATGGGGAAGCAAAAGGATTGGGAACAGAATGCCTTTTTGCAATAAATGGTAATTACTGATAATAATGAACTTTGGGGTTTGTTATTCAGGAGATGAACTTGATGATCTTTATGGATCCCTTCCAGCTCGAGATATTCTATGATTGTTGCAGCCCAACATCACCGTAACCCAGTGATGCCCAATTATTGCAACCCTTTAGTACTCTTTCAACCCAGTACACATTATTTTTGCAACCAAATATGATATTTTTATTGCAATACTATTGCAACTTGGTGATACACTGCAATGCTGAAGTTCTTCCTGCAGGCTGCATGAGCTTGGCTACTAGCAAATCAAGCTAAAGTTGGAATAATTCACATCTTTGTACTCGATTGGCCGAGTCCTGGCCATTACTCTGCAGCCTTCCTAGAGGCAGCACATAAATCACTCCACCAAAAGAGTGTGGGACTGAATGAGTGGATTCAGAGGATGCTGGGTGCACTGAATATTTGTCCTTCTTGCTTCAGGCATCCCCACAGTTTCCCAGTTTCCAAAGCCCTGGGGAGGACCCTGAGCTGCTGTGCATCTCCTGGGCTTTGGCACATGGAAAGGGGAGCAGAGAATCACATCTCACCTCCAAAGCAGAGACATGAAAGGAGGGAGAGCAGAGAGATAAAAGCCACGAAGTGGCAGCAGGAGGCAGGGAGAAGAAAGATACCAGGAGAACAAGCTGGCTCCCAAAATATCCCTTGTTGCGCTGCACTGAAGACCAAAAACTTGCACTTGGAAGGCTTTTGCAAGGGGAGAGGCTGTGAGCTTTGCTGCAACCACTGCCTTGGGGTCCTCAGTGGGTTGGCTTTGAAATAGCAAACCTATCCCCAGGGCTCAGGGGAACTGAATTTTGGAAGGAGTTTGTAGCAAACGCCAGCTGAACTCATTGCTGAGGCAAATGAGGTGAGCAGGTTTTGGGTTGAAAAGGGAAAAGAACAGAGAGTCAAAATGCTTCGTTTCTGTGTATCTCCAAATGAAATGCTTGGACTCTTCATTTCAAATGCAGCTTTTACATGGAGACGTGTCCAACCAGAACATGAAATGGGCTGGGAGGTCATTGCACAGTGCTCACCTGTCCTTGCTGCACCCCAGCCCAGGGTTTTGGTGCTTGCTGTGCAAGGCTTTTTGATCAGCAGAAAAGAGGCTTCCTTCCATCTTTCCAACTCATTGAGTAAAGGGGGAGAGGGGGAGTAATAACAAAAAAAAAAAAAACAGAATTAACTCTAAAAATGATCTTCTTCTGAAAATAACCTAAAAATAAACTCTACAATAATCTCCCAGGTGAAAATTTCTTGGAGCCTGGCTTGTCTCTAGGAAACATTCCAGCATTTCTAACCAAAATAACCAATAAAACCCCATTTTTATCCAAAACTGGTGATAGCAAATCAAACAGCAGCAAGAAACGAAGCCCCGAGAAGCATTTGGAGTTTGTCAATTTCCTTTAGTCCACATTTGGAGCAGAAGAGATTTCCCTGAGGGTTTACTTACTAGCATAAATATATATATATATATATATAAAATCAGTATGATTCAATTTGGACCAAAACTGTCATCTTGGTATGAAAACTCCAAATGTTCAATTTGAAGTATTTGAAACCAAAATTTCCAACCAGATGGGATAACTGCATCCACAGGCAATGGAAGAACCACTGATGTCATCTGCTTGGGCTCCAGTGAGGCATTTGGCACAGCCCCAACGACATCCTTCTCTCTAACTTGGAAAAGTGCAGCTTTGATGGGCAGACTGTTCAATGGATGAGGAACTGTTGTGAGATTCCACCAGAGAGCAGCGCTCAATGGATGGAGATCAATGGCACTGGTGTCCCTCAGGGATCATTACTGGGACCAGTCCTATTGAATTCCTCCATCTTCGGGCTCAGCTTTCATGCCTGTTTCCCTCAGCTCTGATTTTCCCCATTCACCTTTTTCTTCTCAAGGTGTTTCAGACCTGGAAGCCCTGTGTGTATGGAGCACAGCCCCCCATTTCTCCACTCCCCACCTCGATGGGCTTTTCACCTTTCCATGCACACTCCTGACCTCCACTGCAGCAGCTCTCTTAGTGAAGATCTACCTGCCTGCTTCGCTTATTCCCAGTGAGTTGATGGTGGGAAGGGGAGCAATAAACCCCAAATTTCCCAAGTGACATCCTCATATTGACCCAACCATTTAGAATAACGATGGTGATTTCTTCAGTGAGGCAATGGTTTCTGGAGTCCCTGATTTGAAGAGATGCCAGCCCTTGCGAGCGTGCCTTCTTCCTTTCAGCATCAGCCAGCAGGATGGGTGGGATGCAGCACTGGTGGATGGTGCATAAGGGTGTAGGTCAGAATATAACCTAGCACTGCTGCCTTAAATGGGAGCTCTGAGCAGCCTGGGCTGGCAATCTGCAACAGAAGTAAAGAGGAGTTCCTGTAACAGAGCCCAGGAGTTGAGGACAAGATTAAAGTCAACAGGCTTGGAAGAGAAGCAAAATTAAAACGTAAAAACTCAGATTTCATTGCCAGAAGGAAACGAGCAGACACCATCTTCTAAGGTTGTTAAAAGAAGAGCTGTCATTACAGTGTGCTGCCGGACCCACAGCAAACTTGGCAGTCTTTAATTCGGCTTGAACATTGCAGCCCTTCTTTTACCATGGGGGAAAAGTCCTGGCTGGCACACACTGACTGCTTTGTGCCTGCAGCAGGCTGGATGGCTGCTCATTTCCCAGAGCAGAGGTGAGCAATAACTTTATATGGACTCCCAGATTTTATAGGAACCCGCATCACCGCTGCTCTTACACCCAATGGAAGCAACAGTTTCTCAGTCAGAAACCACCACAGGGGCTGCATTTGGGGCCCAGCACTTGGCGTCCACTTCAAACCTGACCTCCCTACAGGCACCACAGGTTCATTCCCCATGAATTTGCCTGGCACTGAGGTCCTGCTTACCTTCCCCTGCCCAGGGTTTCCTGACTATAAAGCTGCTGTCTGCTGTCACAGCTCTTTCTCCTTTCTCACTCCCCCCCCTTTAACCTTCTGATTCCTCAGGTGATTTTCTCCAGCAGCTGCAATATTGCAAGTCATTTCTTTGCTGCCCCAGGTTTCCATCAGGAGCCCCATCCCACGCTGGGATGCACCTCAATGATTCGCCCACACCCCAGAGCCCTCCCGCAGCGTCGCTTCTTCCTGGGGAACGAATCCTAAAACCCATTTTCCTCCTCTCTCCCTTTCCCTGTGCACAAGGCACTCACAAAGCAGCCGCCCCTTCCTCAAGCAGCCGTGTCAGGGCTGAAGGGATTAGCAGGGTGTTCAGCCACTGTCCACGCCTCGCAGCGCCATGCATTCCCTTTATCTCAGGGAAGCAGGCGCCTTGGCCGCCAGCCCTGCAGGGATTTATCGGGGTGCCCTGGAGCTGCTTCTTGCTCTCGTGCTGGCTCCTTCATCCTCACCCTCTTAGAAAGGGATGGGAAAATGCAAATAGTTTCCTATGAGAGCTCGGGCTCGGAGATGTGCACGTGGCTGCTTGGACTTGTTGCCACACTGTGGGGACAGAGATGACCCCTGAATACTCATCCAAATATTCTCCACCCCCAGCTGCCAGCCAGGACATGTAGATCCCACCCCCATATCCTACCTGCACCGTGCATCACCTGTACTGTCCGTTGTCTTACACTGTGCACGAGATCCTCTTCTGATGACAGCCAAACCCCAGCTTTCTCCTGGTTTGTGGCATTCCTGCCACCTGCAGGCACTGCAGCTCTCCCCCATCTCTGCTATTTCATCTGGATGAATAGGGGAAAACCGGTCCTGTTTGAGTCCCTTTGGCCATTTTTGCAGCCCTCTTGATTTTGGGAGCACATCCCTGTGGAGCCCCGTTATTCTCATTTTACCAATGGGAAAACTGCAGGCGGGGAGCAGGATGGTCAGAAGTTCCTATTTGTAGATGCTTGGCTGCACAGAGAGCCCTGCTTGCCAGCAAGAACAGGCTGCTGTGAGCACACAGCAAATCACATCCCTGCAAACACCCCCGGTAAGCATTCAAAAATCACTCTGTGCTTTTAAGGATCCACACCATGGCCATGCAGCCCTCGGCCCAAAAATCTCCCCCAGTGGTGCTGGGTGCAGAATTAACGCTGGGAGAGCAGATGCATGGTTAACAAACCAGAAGGGAAAACAACGACTTAATACTTTCTAATTATTGTCCCAAGTAAAGCAATTACTCCTCATTCACACATGATTGCTAAGAATAGCTTACAATGAACAAGCATTTTTTAAGGATGCTACTTAGTAAATTTTTATTAACCAACAAAGTAAGATATTTATCCTTCAGCACAGCCCCCATAAATACAGAAAAGACATTACTCAGTAAACGACTGAATCAGTACTGTGCTTAATTGCTAGGAATTATTATCAGGTTACTGCAATTACTATGAATTGCTAACAGGAGGAACCCTTAAATCATTTCTTAAAAAAAAAAAAAAAAAAGGGGGGGGAATCTTACTGATACACTTTGTGATGTTACAAATAATTTGGGGGACAATTCTGAGGGGAATTTTTCATGCAGAAGAACAGGAGAGGGGCTGCACAGGGAGCTCTGCAGTGCGCATGGCTGTAGGGTCAGGCTGGGACAGTTTGGTGCAAGAGTGAAGTTTCAGCTACTGCACAGCCCTTGGACTTTCTGCTCACCACCTGCAGCCCAGGTACAGAGGAAAACTCTATAATGGAGAATTCTTATGCACCTGAGAGGCAGGAGGAGGATTCGGGCAGCTCTCATTGCACTGGTCCTTAGGGTGGCCATGTCTTTGGCATCAGCCCATCTCCTGCATCTCCATGATTTGGGGAGATGGAGAAAGGATCATAGAACGGTGGGGTTGAAAGGGACCTTAAAGGTCATCCAGTTCCAACTGACCTGCTGTGGGCTAGATGCCAATCACCACATCAGGTTGCCCAACCTGGCCTGGAGCAGCTCTAGCAATGGGGAAGGCATGCAGGGTCCTGAGAGCCCATAGGCACATCTTCAGGTCTACGCAGCTACAACCTGTCTGCCTATTCCAGCTGGATCTGTGGGTCTAATAAAAGGTTTTATCAGGCCCTATAAAGTCTCTCCTCTCACAGCCTCAGACATGGCACAGCTGCAGCGTTGCAGGAGCAGACATGGCCGGGTATTTCACTTCGGGCAACACTTGTACAAAATTGGGTGCTATCAATCCTTCCCGCTTCCTCTTGTGTGAAGCGAGGATAATGAGCAGGACGTGTGAAGTCTTGATCAGCTGCTGCTGGTGCAGCATGGCAGTGTTTTCAGATGAAAAGCGATGAGGGAAAAAAGCAGTTATTAGAGCAGAAGCGCATTAGAAAGAAAAAAAAGTCTGAATTTCCATTATGCCCCTGGAGCTTGACATCTCCACAAGCAGCACTATTTCCATTATTGCTTCCCTTATTATTACATATTTGGATTCCAGACACCCCACACGTTTAGGCCCCAGGGCTGGGCAGGAAGGACCGCTCCCCAGTGATGCTGGTTTGGGTCTTGGTGGCATCTCAGCAAGCTGTGCCTCTGGGAAATGGCTTTGTGTAACACTACCAGCAGCTGCCCATCACTGATGGAAAAAGAGTGGGACAGGAGACACCTGCAGGTGTTTTTCTGTTCACACTCCATAAGGAGAGGAAGTGCAGGAATACCCCCCTGTGGTTCTGCTCATGCTTTTGGGAGCTCAGAGCATTCGTGGCACAGTGGTGTCAGCTCTGCACACAGCTTTGGGATGGAGAAACGTACTGCCCTTAGAGCTGTACCTCCTCCTTTGGTTTCTCCCTCTTTCTTTTCTTTCACCTTTCTGTAAGCACACAGGTCAGGGTCCCGCTCCTTCCATTGTGAAAAAGCAAAGGCCAGGAGCAGCTGTTAAATGGAAATAGCATGAGACCTGCAGGCACGAGGATCTGCCTGCTTGGATCCCAGCACTCATAGGCTGGAAGTGGACTGAAAGGGCGCAGAAAGAACAGGAGGAGAAAAGAGGATGGTGGGAGGAAAAAAAACCAAACACACAAGACACTGCAGATGATAAAAGGATTTAAAGAGCTGGCCCCAAATCCTCTTGATGCATCAAACTGTGGGAGGCTTAAGTCTGCACTGCCCTGTTGGTAAATCCTCACCCGTGCCGACACTGTGCTGCTGTTGCTTTGTTGGAAGGGCAGCCCGTGGCTTCCTAAAGTGAATGCTGGCTGGGCTGCAGGTCCATCCCCACTGACACCATTCCATCCTTGCAGGCTGCTTTACCCCGGGGTTTACGTAAGCATTCCCAGGATGAGATGGGGCTGAAGATGAGAGCAGGGCAGACAGAGCACCGAAGCAGCTCTCTCCCCAGTTTCTAAACATGAGTCAGCAGGATCCCTGTTTTCAAAGCTGGCTGCTCTGAAAGAGGCATTTGCATTTCAGAGAGATCCTGCTTTGCTCTCCCACTGACAGTGTTTAGCTTTTGTTTAAAAGCAGAGCTCCTCCACCGCATTGCAAAAGGGGCCGAATGGAAGAGACAAGAAGTACGAGCCTCTGGGTTTGATCATTTCTTCCTTCATCTCTACCAGCAGAGCCCCTTGCCAAGAGGAACCTCTTTAAAAATCCAGTGCTCTTCACAAAGCAGTGAAGCAGGGGATGTGGCTGCCATGGGCACATGCGCCCACTGTTTCACACACTGAGGCTCTCCCAGGCAAAAATGCTAGGGAGAATTCATCTCCTTGGGTAGGAACAGCTCCTTCACCCTGTGGGTTTATTACCCCCAATGGCTTGTCCTAATGACAGAGGATCCTAACCTAACCTAACCTTAGGATGTTGTCTGAGGACACTGTGCAGGACTGGGGCAGACTTTGCTATTGCAAAGATGCATAAGCTTGGAATTCTGGTTTCCATATCTGGAGGTTTGACCTGAGAGCTCAGGATGGGATGTTTAAGATCCAGAATCCCAAACCTAGCTACTCTTACTATACTTCAGTTTCAGATGACCACAACTTGAGGTTGCTCTGGACATTGGCATTCTTTACAAGGACAGCCCCAAAAATCAAACACAGCTGCTCTGGTATCTTTTTTACCTTCCTTGCAAATCAATCTTATCGGCTCCTAAGTAAGTAGAATTGATTCAAAGCATTCATATAGTCCTACTCACACCTTTCCCTTCTTTTTTGGAAAGAATGAAGGAAAAAAGGTACTTACCAGCAGAAGACCTCAACCACAAAGGAATCTCCAGCAAGATCCCCTTGCTTCCCTTGCCAAGCCTTAAATGAGGGTTGGGAAGGGGTGGATCCTGGCTGCAGCCCTTCCATCACTCAGTGCATTGCATGCACCTGAGCTGCCCTGTGCTGGCCCTGCCTTCTCACCAGGTGCTCCATCAATGCTTCAGGCTGTGACTTAGCTTCTCTACTACAGTACCATGTGGTGTAGCATGGGATGGGAAACCCATTGCATCTGCACAGTGCCACCAGGGAGTTTTGCTCCCCGGGAGATGAGTGTAAAATTGACATTTGCAAGTTGGCATTTTTGTCAACTTTGCAAAAACCCATTTGCAAAGGCTGAATCTCACAGCATCTCTCAACTCAGCCCATAACCCCGGGGATGGCATCACACCTCGTGAAGACAAAGCCTGAACATTAAAAAATCCAGACACCAACGTGTTATTGACAGCAATATATTACAGAGGCACGGGAGAGGAGTGCAGTATTTATAGACCTAAGTAACCCTCAGACACAGGTGGCACTTTTTGACTCCGTACCGCTCTCAGTGCTGGATTTTGTTTCTGCCTGAGGATTATTTAGGAAAGAGTTATTATCGCCTCTGATTTATTGCTCTGCACTGGGGGGAACTCTTCCCTTCTGCCAAGACTATTAGCGAGGCCTCTTGGAGAGCCACTTCACAGAACCACAGCCTCCACTCTGCCACTGATTGCAGACAGACAGGTGAGGTGAGGATGGATGGAGAGGCACTGAGCTCCATCCCCACCATCCCCAACAGTGGCATCTTCCTCTGTATTAAATGGGCAGCTCAAATCCTGGAGCAGTAGCCTGTGAGTTTTTTCATGAAGATTTCTTTAACTCTTCTGTGTTTCAACTTTTTTTTCTCCTTTTGGTTAGGAAAAGCAGGCTCCTGTGCAAGCAGATGCAGATGCCCTTTTTTGGCTGTTCTGCTGTGTTTTACTCTCCTCCAAAACAGCAACAGCACTCACTGCCCATGCATCCTCCCAGGCTGATGCAGACTATCTAGAATATAATCAGAATACAGTCAATTAAGGACAAGATTAGACTGAGAGGAGCTTAAGAGGGCTGTGACAATGAGACATTCATACACAAGTCTTTCCCTTCCACCCTTCACAGTCTGAGCTGATTCTCCCAAGGTCCATCGGAAACGAGCTGTTTGTTAATGCATCTGTGGGCCCAATGCAAAGAAAAAAAAAAAAGGAAGAAAAACACCCCAGAAAAGTTGTTTCTTCACCCAGCTGCCCTTGTGCCAAAACTGCCCCATCCCTGCTACCTGCTGGTTGATAACTGCCTGGGAAATCAGGCTTTCTGCTCTGTGCAAACAGAAGTTTCACCTCTTTGCTCTTAATTTGTATTACTCCCTGCCTTTCCTCTCTACCAGAGTTCCAAAAGGAGCCCCAAACCATCATTTTGAGGTTGGGCAGAAGTGGAGCTATGGATTTGGGTGGCACTTGTGGAGCTGTGCTTCGAGTGAGCAGGGCTGGAAATCTCAACCCCTTGCCAAAAACAGAGCGTTAGCTTTAACTATTTGAGCGACTTTGCCCCATGGTTGCCTGGAGACGGGGAATTGGTGGCCAGGAGTGCTCCTTCAGGTTTGTGTTTGTGTCCCTATGGCCCTCAGTGTTGTGCAGGCGTTGATTGCAGTGTGAGCGTCTCTGCTCAGCACTTCTGTGTGGCCAAAAGCACTTTGGGGTGGCTGAGCAGAGCGTATTCGTGACTGCTGACAGCACTTCTTGTTTCCTCTTCCTGCAAGAGGATGGCTGAAACACCAGCGAAAAACAGGGAGTGTTTGGAGGTCGAGAGCAACTCAGTGTTTAGAGAATTATTGCTGAAGTTATTGCATGGATAATGAGCCCACCTGAAAGTATGAATAAACTCTGATTTATATAAAAGCTCAAGAACAGCTAGAAGTGGAGTGGAGGGGTGTACATGTAAATTTCAGTCTGTTTTTATTGTTTCCACTGTGATTTTCTGAGCTTGCTGTGGTGAGATCTGCACCATGAGCCAAGGGCACTGGCTGCTTCCTCCAGCTTTGCACATCTGGAAATCCCACTGCACACCGACTGCTTCCTGCAGCTGCTGAGGTGGGCATCACAGCACTGAGACTCATCACAATGGACACCATACAGACCATAGAAGCAGAAGGACAGTGCCAAAATGCCAAGGACCTCAAACAAGAAGCACAAGCCTTGCTGTGCCTGAGGGATGTCACTCCCCAGCCATGAAATACCTGTGCCTGTTGTGGGGGAAGGTGGCATCAGGACCACAACACTCTTAATGGTCCAGAAAAGTTGGAAATAATCTCACTCTGTGTTTAACGAATAATAAGTAAACATGTATACACACACACACACACACATGGCTAAGTTTTGATGATCACTTTTGCTTTTTGCATGGACACCCAAAGAGAGCCTAGGTCCTGGATGAGGAGCTGCTCCCTGCAAGCTGAATGCACAAAAGCCTGCATGAAGGGAGATAAGCCTTCAAGAAACTGTGCTGGGAAGTGCAGAGGCTGAAGGAACCTCTTTACGAACACGTATGTTAATTTCAGGTCCATAATGAAGAGCATTCATCCTGTTTCTGCGCTCAAGTTCGTGGCTGAGTGAGAGCTGTCCACAGAGAGCAAACACCACACAAACTGCAGAACCTTGCCTGAAAGTTGTGGAGGATTTGTTTCTTTGGGAAAAAAACAACCCTGCTCTTTTCCACGTCACTTACCCTTTCATTCTATAGGCTCAAAACAGGGCTGGTTTTGCCCTCGTGCCTCCTCAGCTCCACCAGCTTGGCCATACACACAGGGCATGGATGCTGGGACTCAGGGACGGGCCCCTCCATGCACTGCCTTGGGGAAAAGAGCAACAAAACCCACTGAACTCCACCTGTGAACATCCTGAAGCCTCAATTCCTTCATCCCCACTGCCTCCCTGGGAGCTGTGTAATCCAGCTGAGCGTGTCACCTCTCGGGGGACAGACTCACCCTCTCCAAGACCTTTAGTGCCAAGTGACACCGTTATCCAATTTCCTCCTAATTGCACTAACAAGGATGAATTAGGACTTTCATCAACGGGGGCGAGTGATCAGTTTGGAGTCAGCCATGGGCGACGGAGCCAGAGATTAAACAAAACTATCATGTTAATGTCTAATAATACAACAGCAAGTGGAAATTAAGCACAAGACAAATATGCTGTGCCGGCGACATTGGAGAGTTTGTTCTTTAAACACGGCGTTATTTTAAAGGCAATGCTATTATTAGGGCCATCTAACTTAATTTCGAAGGCATAATAGAAAAGTAAATGTGCCGCAGTTGCACTTTATGTGCAATTTCGAAAACAAACCCAAACTGGGGGAGAATGCTGCGTGCTGCTGAAATAGCCACTCCAGCTGAATTCCTCTTTGATATACGTTAATTACCTCCAGCAGGGGAGGGACAGCTTCGCTCAGAGCTGTGCTCTGTGCAGATGAAGCTCTGAGAGCAGCCCCAGCTCCTCTGTGGGTTGAAATGATGCCAAACCCATGGGATATTTTAACTCCTGGTGCTCCGTCGCCTTGATGGGATGCAGGAAGGCTCGTTCCTCGCTGTTGGTGCACATTCGTTATCTTACAGCTGCGTCGCTGATGGTTTTCTTACAGGTTTACTTTTCAGATCTGCCCCTTTTACTGCTTTCCCACGTTGTGTGTAGGGAAAATATTTCCATATGGGGTGAAGGGTTTGTTCCCAGTACTGTGGCTGAGCTCCTGTTGCATGCTGGCACAAGCGGTGGGAGGCAGTGCTGATAACCTCTTTGCTTGTGCAGTGCAGTCTCAGGATTGATCTGAGCATAAAGCAACACAATCAAATTCCCCTGTTATGTATTTTGTTTTATTTTTTTTCCAGCGGTGATATCATTTCCCCTTTATTAAGTTGCATGGAAATTGTGTCTTAGTACTTTAATGTCTTGTTCTGCACTTAAGGGAACGTTTTAGATGAGCAGCAGCATTGAAAGCCCTCTTTCTTTATTAATATCCATCTCCTTCATCCCTTCCTCAGTGACATTACCCCCTGCTTTATGGCAGTTGTGGGGGTGGAGCGGAGGCTGATGGCCATGCAGCAGTACTTGTGCTCTTTGGGTTACCCCCATCTCACTGCAGGCTTTCTCCCCTGGCTCCAAAGGCTGTGCACAGCGGTGTGACGTGGCCTCACTGAGTGCTTTTAGCTAGGAGGGCTCAGGCAGGGGTTGCTCTGTGCCTTGGGGGGCTTCCAATAAATCCCAGTGGAGCCAGCTTTCCTTAGTGCAGCTCGTGAGGGCCTCAGAGCTGAAAATAGAAAAGGAGGAAGGCTGCAGAGCGCTTCCCATCCCATCCTTTATGTCTCATCGACGCTGAAGTGCTCTCTCCCCTGGCCGGTGCATTCAGCGCATATTAAACACAATATGAAATTCCATCTCAGAAAACCCCAGAGATGGCTCGATCGACTGTCCTTTAAATAGAATTAAAATTGACCCGAGGCAGATCTGCAAACCTATTGAATTACCCAGTCCAGCACCGAGCTTGGGTTGGTCTCTCAGGGAAAGAACAGCGCAGCCTGGGGCGGGATGAGGAGCCCTGCTGGCACAAGGGCAGCAGCCTCCCACCGTGGCTTTGCACAAATCTGTGCCATAAAAATGTCATCCTGTGCTGCAGGTGCATGCGTGAGGTTTTGGGTGTCAGCAAGAAAGTTGAGAATGGGCGTAGGTGGCAGTGGGGCAGAGTGCTGATGGGGAGCAGCACACACAGCCCAGCTGTCCCCATCATTCTCACCCTGAGCACTGCATGGGCACTGTTCACAGTCAGAGGATGTGAGTTTGGAAGTCCTGTGTGCAGCCAGGTGTTGGACTCGGTGATCCTCACGGTCCCATCCAGCTGGGGCTGTTGTGTGATTGTGTCGCTCTATGATTCTTCCTCCTCAGGTTCTTTAGCTCCATGCTAAAATATTTAACGTGGTATGAAGAGCAACAAAAAACCCCATGAGCTAATCTGCTGTGGTTTCCAGAAGCTGTACCCCCTCCCTGGCCCTGTTGTCAGAAATGGGAAATCTCTCTTGCTTAGTAATGCTTTTCAGCTTGTGGCTGGCGTGGCTGCACCGTGTGCCATGCATCCAGCTGCCTATCTATAGGACATCTAATGGGCTCCAGAGGGAGCCTGGCCCGCGGCCCACGAATCAGCAAACCTGGAGTCTCATCAGCGCTTCAGGCACCAGAGGCATTTTAAAAGACCTTTATCATGAGCAGAATTAGCAGAACTCGTCCCTCCGGTACCTGTTAGCTATTTTATTCAGCCCCCTTCACCTCCTGGATAAAAAATAATGTGCATCTGTTTTGTTTGAAAAAACTGTCCTGTGGGCATTTGTGCTATTCAGGGCTGTGCAGTGCCAGGGGACAGCGAGCAGCATTTCATTGGCTTGGCTGGCTGAGGCTGGAGAGATATAGGTCGCTTGGCAGGGTGAAGATGAGTCCTGGATAGCCTCTTTCTGCTGGTAACCTGCCTTGGTGCTGGCTTGGAGAGCTGGCCTGCAAGCCGGTCCAGGGGATGGGTGTGCAGTGTGGTGGTCCAGGTGGTTTGGGGCAGCAGGGAAAGGCGAGGATGTAGCTAAGGTTTTGGGCCTTTCTAATTCAGCTGGAATGTCTTTCTATCCTTCCCTCTTGGGTGCAAACGTTTTGCACACAATGTTATCTACTCGGTCTCCAAATGGGAGAAAATGATGGTAGGGCTTGAGCACACAGCCTTGATTTATACCTGTGTGCGAGACCGGCACAACCCAGCCCCAGCCACAGCTATTATTAGCTGACAGATTTTAAAGAAAAACTATATAAATCTCCCCTTGTGCCATAAATACACTTCTGCCTTGGGAGACCATGAAGAAGCTCATTAAACCACATCCTGAGAGAGAGGCATGTGTCATCTGCAGTGACAAGCGATGCAGCCTCCAGTTACCTTGCTGGCCAGGCCTGGGGAGTATTTATTGAACTTAAAGGGGGTTTAATGCTCGCTCAGGGCAGAAGAGGCAAACACACTCAATTTTGGCAAGGCAGGGGCCTGGAAACTGCATTCCTGAGTTTTATTCCATGGCAAGCAGGGAAACTGTAACTATAGATGAGAGGAATAAGCGTGAGGGGCTGAATGTGAGGTCTGCTACAAGCTCACTGCTTAGGTGGGTTGATCTCCTGCAGGTCAGTTTGCTCCCAGGGCTTTTCTGCAGGTGAATGAAAAGAAAAATGAATTTAAAAAAAGAGAGAGAAAAGAAAAAAAAAAAAAGAATAAAAAGAGAAAAAAAGGATCAAAAAAGATAAGATTAAAAAAAAAAAAAAGAAAATACAGGAAAAAAGAGGAAAAAAAAAGGAGGAGGAAGTTTGTCCCCTGGTGTGGGCCCAGCAAAGGACCAGTCTCATGGTGCATTTTTGCTAGTGGGATCCAGAGCCAGAGGACCCTGAGGAATTTCACACATCTCTGGTGCAATTTACCTCCTCTTTTTCCTTCGGGGTGGAAGCAATGCTAAGAGGAAGAGTTATTCAGCTCGATAACCACAGCTAAAGCAGCACCTCTGATGCTGCTCTTCCAATTCCAAAGGACTGAAAACCAGCACAAAGCTTTGTGATCCACTTCTCCACCACCAGTTGGTTTAAACCCTTCCTTTCTGGTTCCCCATACATACCAGGTGCAGCTATACATCTCCATTAGCATGCAACGCAGAGCAGCAATCTCTGTAGTACAAACCAGTTCTCCAGATTGAGAACTTGCCAAGAGTTGGATAAGCTGTAATAAAGTCCCTTGTTGTAAGAGCACCCCGCTGACACAGGCTCTGATCTGAAAGGAGTGGGAGCAGAATTAAATTCCCTCTGCTGAAGCCTGTCCATTATTCTTGGGCATTGGATTGCAGGAGCTGAGAAAGCTGCTCTGGAAGCAATAAGTGCTCACTACAGAGAGCCCGGAGTGCTGTGTGCTCTTGGCAGGGGAAGGATGGCAGAAAGCAGCTGCAAAACCTCACCCAGCTGCAGGAGGGGAGGGGTTTGGAGGGGAAAGGAACGGGCAAAGCTGCTCCAGCAAAAAGGGCTGAGGGATGTGGAGCAGAGAGGATGTGCTGCACTGTGGCTGCAGCTCCCCACACCCAGGTTTGCTGAGAAGCACCAAACCCACAGTGCCCAGCCCCAGGTGAGTTACTTCAGGCCACGTTTTTAATATCATTCGAAGCCTGAAGACTCAGCCAGGTGCCTTGTGGGATTTGCAATAACATCTAAGTGCTGGAAATCTTTGAAATCCTGTAAAGTGGGTGAGAAATGAGCTGAAGGCAAGGGAGCAGAGCAGCACAGACCCTGTGAGCGGAGCACAGGTGTTGCATGGCTTACACAGGAACTGAAAAGCAAAAGGATTGGCCCCGCAGTTCCTTGGAGTTTCTGTCTTTTCATTAAAAAAAAAAAAAAAAAAAAAAAAGAAGGCTGAAAAGGAGCTTTTCAGCTTGAAAAACACTTCATTCTCTCCTCCACATCTCGTCTGTCAGCCTATCAGCCCCATCTCCCATCCCTGCTGCCCTCCCTCTCCAATGCCAGCCGAATGCCTTTAGTAAGGCGCACTCCATACTGATGCCCTTTCCTTTTCCCTCTGTGCCATTCCCCCAGTCTTTGTGCCAGCTGCAAACGTGATCAGGGCCAATGTGATGCTTTCTTGCAGGTCATGGATAAAAATGCCAAACAGCAGCAATGCAGCACACACTGTGAGAACTCCCACCCCCAGAAGTGCCCTTTGGGATGAGCCACCTTGCCAGCTGTGCATTGCCTTGTGTGCCCTGCTGACCTCCTTCCATCCCAGTCTCTTAGTCAAGATATCACACAGGACCCAGCCTGAATGTATCACAATGAAAGCATCACCTGTATCAGCCAAATTTCTAACCTCATCAAAAAAAGATATCAATATATTTCAACAAGATTTATCTTCCACGTGCCCGTCTTGATTGGCATCCTTTGCGTTATTTCCATTAATTCCTTACTAAACAAGTCCTGTAGCAGATTTCCCGTTATTGTGCCTGGAGTCAAAGTTGGGCCAACAGGGCTGTAATTACACAGGTCATCTCATTTATCCTTCCTGTTCATTGGTGCAATGTTCATTTCCATTCAGCTTTCTGGATCCCACCAGTCCTGAAGGGGGTCATTGGAGATCAGTATCTCAGGCTGACCTGGACCTGACTGGGTGACACCACTGTGGATGGGATGCATCCCATGCAAAAAAATCACATTCATCAAAATTTGAAGGTACTTCACCACTTCCCCCCAGCTCTTATGGGGATTGAACCAATGTCTTACAAATATTGGAGAAAATTGGCAGAAAACAGCTAAAACCAGAAGCGCTCTCCTCACATGTACAAACAGCCAAAAATAAGTGCTGTTATTGCTTTAAAATCCTGAGGGTTTTGATGAGAAGTTGTGCATATGTGTGTGGATGTGCATGTACATGGCTTTCTGTAAACGTGTTTGCTTTTACTGTAAACCTGGCTTCCTGGCACAGGAATATTTAGTCCCTGTGCAGAGCACTTGGAGCACATAAGTGTGCCTGCATGAGCTCTCGCCACTTACACTGATGGGGCTTTCACATCGTAATCTTTATTTCTCATTTGGGTTATAGACATTTTCCAGCATCCACAGTCTTTGAACCTATAAATTAAAACTTCCATATACCATATCATTGCTCCCAGCTCGGTGAGGACACAATATCTATCCAGGCATGTTTATTCCTGCTGCTGCCACAGGTGGAAGCTGTGATATCAGTCCAACACCTAACACTGTTTGGACAGGAGTGTCAAAAGCAAAGGAAGGCATTTTTCATCAAAGCCGTTAAGATTTCTTGGCCAATTTTATGGCTGCTCAGCCAGGGTACCACGTTCCTGCCCCTCTCCTTTGCCCTGGGGATTTTCAAAGCAGTCTCCAGCTCTGATCTCCTTGCAGAGCATCCCTGCCCTTTCTGAGCTGCTCCTGCAGCAGCAATCGGCAGCAGAAAGCAGCTCAGTCTGTGCAGAGGAGAGCAATACAGGGAGAGGGGGAAGTTTGAAAGGCTAAAAACAATTCTTGCAGACTGAACTGCAAAATAATTAAGAAGGAAGACTGAACTCCTATATTTTTGTTATTGGGATGCTTTTCCCACATGCAAAATTTCACCTGCCCAATGTTGAGGGGTTTGCTGTTCTCTTTTGAGTGCGGTGGCTGCACACTTTCCTGCTGCATCACCCCTTCCCTCACCTGCAAGGAATCCCACTCTCTAACCAGCACTCACTGGCAGCAGTTAACCCTCTGTATAATCAATGGATATTAAGATGTTATAATCACAAAAGAACAAGAGAGTTAGGCAAAGTAGACTAAGAAAATAGGAGAGAACTAAGATAATAGGAAAGAATAAATGGAAGGCTTACCCATATGCTAGGCTCACCTACAAAAAACACCAGAAGAAAGGATCTCCAGACAAGATCCTTCCCCACTGGTAGCCAGCTCTTAAATAGGTTTGAGAGGGGTGCAGCCAGGCTCCATGACTTCCGGCAACACAGCTCAGTTGCCTTCACCTGTGCTCCTCTGGCTGACTCATGGCTCACCTCAGGTGATCAATCAGAGGTTCAGGCAGTGACTCAACAGTTCCCATACATCCTCCTTGGCTCCTTGGGCAATGCTTGGAATTTGGATCTACTCGCTGACCAAGGCCAATGTTCTCCCCTGCAGCAAAACCAGCCGGTATCATGCCCTGCTCCCACTCATCCTTCAGGTTGCCCAGGTATCCAAAGGCTCCGTGGTGTCACCAGCCTTGCTGGACACCACTTTTTCTCTCTTGTTTTTCAAGGAGCTTCATGTGCGTGAGCATCACGCTGGGTGCTTGTCTCTCCAGCTCCAGGCCTCCCCGAGGATATGACAAGCCAGAACACATTGCAGAGGGAGTTCAAAATTATCTATCTCCAACATCCACTTAATCCATCGTGAGGAGGACCGAAAAGCTCTCCAGGCCTGCAGGAGCTCTGAGCAAGCCGCCGTTTCTTATGCTGAGCCTGTGTTCCCACTTGTCAGTTTGATTTCTCAATGCTTTACAATCTCTGGTATTCTCGGTGAGGATACGGCATCACGTCCATCACCCGTTATCACTAGGTCCCCGTGTTTCCTTTTCTTCTCTCTCAGCCGCTTTGCAATCTTGAACCAATAAAAAAAAGTAAAAAGAAGAAAAAGGAAAAGAAGAAGCAGCGGCAGCTTTTCAGTTCCTTATCCGCCGCAGCCTGGATTACATCCAGGCCTCTTGCTATGATCCTTCAAGTTCCTACTAAACATGCCCTGCATCTCCTGATAACATTAAATCTGCATCTTGGTTGGGTTTATCAGTACTTCTGGGGACAAGCAGGGCTGGCGCGTGAGGAAAGAGCAGCACTGCAACAGGTTATGGCATGCAAAGAGATGGGATGGAGCAGCACTGGTCTGATCTGCTCCCAGCCAGACCCAGTACAGCTGGGAACCGCTGCAGGACACCCACATGCCAGGCTGAGTTATCCCGAAGGTGATGAATTTGCAGAGCCAACAAGGCTGTTCAGGCTGTGCAGGGCTGAAGCAGCACTGGTCTGAGTTCCTAGGGACAAATAATTTGATTTTCCTATCCCAGTGCTCAGGATATGACTTACAAACCTGTATCCCATTGCAGCGCTGCAGCCGCTGGTAAACGAGGATTGTTGGTGCAATGAAGTGAAACTCAAAATACATGTGTGAAGTTAATGAAGAGAAAGAAAGTCTTGTTTTGGATTCATTAGAATCAGTAACAGAGTCCAATTAAGAAACATCCACTGCGTAACCACAGCAGAGGTTTAAAAACAGCAGATAAGTGCTTCAGGTCATCTTGGGATCAAAAGGAAGGGGAGTTTTAACACTTTCTTTGTATTTTCTGCTTCCTGAAGGCAAGGCATGACTTGAAATCTGTCTCCTTGAATACTGAGGAAGAGAATGCCTGGGCAACGATGGCCAGTGATGGCTTGTTGGCTGTCAGGGCAGTTGGCCATCAGGACAGTTGACCATTGGGGTGGTAGATGTAGGCTGTGAGCCATCTGCAGCATCCCCAAACCAGGACTTTGCCACCTATCAGGGCTCAGAGTCTGGTATGGACCTCAAAGCTGATGTAAGCAGAGGCTGACTTTCCCCTTTATTATTTCACAAAAGCACCATGGAGGTGCAGGGGAATTAAGATGCCTAGACTTTAACACAGATCATTTCTAAGGTGCATCTGAATTGAGCTTCCACAAGACTTATGGCTTGTTTTGGTCATAACCCCACTGCAGCCGGTCTTGTGCACTGATGTTATTGATACAGCCAGTAATTACATTTTCACATAGGCATTTTTTCTGTGTGTCTACACTGTGTTTATTACAAACTCTCAATTATTCATTTTTTCCCCTCTCTTGTCATCCCTCCCTCTTCTCTGCCTATTTATATTTCCCTCCTGGTCTTATTTTTTTACCTGTCCTCTGGCTTTTCCTCCAGCTGTGCTCCTCCATGTCTCCGACCAGGGCAATGGCCCCAGATGGGCTGAAGCCCCCTTGTCCCCATTCCCAGACGAATTTACTTGGCAGTGGGATATCTCCTCTGTTCAATTTTCTCCCCACCTTTGCCCCAACCCATTTTTCTGCATCGCTGAGCTCCTGCCACAAACCTCCCTGGTGCCTTTTCTGTTACAGAATGAGAAATAAAAATGTGGCACCGTTGTTACTGCTCATCTATCTGCTGTGCCTAGGTGAATAATGCAAGGAAACATGTATGTATTTATACAGCAAATGGGAAAATACATTTCTTAAGATGAATGAGGTTGTTTTCAGCCTTGATGCACCCAATAAAATAACCCAGTATCAAGAGGGAGGTTTATTTTGAAGTCTGGACGTGTCATAATATCAGCTCCCAACCAGGACTTCAAATTACATAAATCAGAGAGTGGAAGAGAGGGGAAAGGCCAGGAAAGCAGCAAGAACAGGGTGAATACAGGCATATATAAAACTCCAGGCATGGGGTGTACAAACATGAGGGCACATCAGAGTGGCCTGCCAGATGGATGCAGGATATGAGACAGGCTTTGACACCAGCTTTTCTATCTCCTTGTTCTTTTTTTTTTAATGTATTTTCCCCTCTGTGCTCAGCTCCAGAGCAAATTCCCCTTCTCATCTCACAGAATGGGAAATTGCAGCATTGGGAGCCTTTGGTGATGGCTGTGGGACGCAGAGACTGCAAGTTGGTCCCCAAGCACCCCAGGAAGCTGCTGGCATCAGCAAGGTCAGCTCCGAATCCAGTTTCAAATCCCACTTCAAATCCCTTCAATTTCTACATTTCCTCCAATAACTGCCCCAAGAGCCCCACGCCAGCCAGAAACTGCTGCAAATGAGCAGAGGTGTTGCCTTAGGCTTAAGAGAAAGAAATAAGTTTTGGTGTGAAATCTGAGTATTTTCTCTATGGAAACCATTGGCTTTTTAATACATCCCCCCTTCAGAACGGTGCTACCCATTTGTAGTGTGCCAGTGTGTGTATTTCTGCTTTTCCACTGGAAAAGTGGGGGTGTGTTTGGCACAGAGCACTCTCTTCCCAGCTGAAAACTCAATTCCTTGCCAAAGCAAAGAGGGGGAGATGTGGAAAAAGCCTGCAACGAGCCATAAGCTTTATGTCACAGCTTTGCCTGGCACAAAAAAAAATTAAAAAAAAAATCCCATGCTGCTTCCTTACAGCCTGGGGAGAGCTTTCCTTGCTTGCGATGCAGCACAGAAGTGTAAAGCGTGTTGTGATCTCAATATAGGATTAGTGCTGCTATTTATCTGTGCAGTGTCACTGAGATAAGGAGCAAGAGAGGAACCCAAATGAAAGGGCAGAAATGCTGCCCAACTTCAGGAGGCACAGGGCAGAAAAGATGCCCCCCAGCAGCGCTCGCTCCTGGTGTGCATTGCTCCCTCCATGGATGGTTTGATGGCTTTGGGAGCCGTCATTCAGCAATAGAATTTTCGCTTGGGAAGAGGCTGCAAAAGGCAATATTTTGGCTAAAAACCAGCTGCAAAAATGGATTGGCTCCATTTGCAAGGCTGCAACAGCTCTGAGTTCATAAGCATGCATGTTTCCCTGTTGAATGCTGCCCCAGCACTCCAGACAAGGCATTTCTCCACAGGAATGAAGAATTTGGATGTGAAAATGCCCACTCCTCACCATAGATGATTTTATTCCTCAGTTTATATTCTGGGGAGATAACTGCAGCCCAAAGCACGGTGGATGTGGTCACAGAAAGCCCTCTGGGAGGAGGCAGAGCTCACCATGCTGTTCCTTGCTTGCCTCTGTCCTTGTCACCACAGCTGTATTTGTTGCTTGTAGCAGATCTGTCTTGCTGGGATGTCTCACTTACCAGGAAGGCTTCATTCCCAATAATTTTCAGACATTGCTGCCCTAGTGATTTATCCCCCTTCAGTTTAGATCTCATTTTTCCCAATTTTACCTTTGTCTCCAGGAAACCTCGTCTATTTTAGTGCAATTTCCTCTCTCTCTCTGGCTCACCCGCTCCCCGTAGCCCAAATTTGTCTTCTTCTCATATTTATTTCAGTATTTGTCTTCCTCTCCCCATGCAGGCTGTGTGCTCGGGATTTATCTCCTCCATTCCCACAATCTGTCTCCAAGTCCAGCGACTTTGCTTTGCCTTCGTCAGCCTTTGCTTTGTATAATATTGAGCAGCACCAGGGGATGTGGCATCTGCTGAGGGATGGGGAAGTGAGGAGGGAAGGAGTGGCTGGAAGGGGAGATCTAGTGGTTATCTGGTGGCTGGCAGCCCTGCTCATGGCAAAGGGATTGGAACTCGATGGTCCAAGGTCCTTTCCAACCAAAGCCATGCTATGGTTCTGTGATCCCAGTTCTCTCCCTCACAGTCCAACATTGACAGGAAGCTGTGAGCTCTTGAGCTAATGTAGCTGCTTGTAGCTGATGTGCTCTGTACAGCAGGGTGTCTCAACAGAAGCCTTTGGGTTGTGATCAAAAGTGCCACCAAGCAGCAATGAAGGAGAATGAAGCCTGGGGGGATGGAGTGTGAGCAGAGGAGGTCTGTCCAGGGATAACTCTTCCTGCAAATTGGGCTTTTGTATTGACCAGGGGAGCCTGGCTGCTGCCATTGCTGTGCTCTCAGCCCTGCCTCCTGCAATGTGACTGATGATGCAATTTCCAAAAAGGTGCTTTTTTCCTCCCCCTGGCAAGTAAGCAAGAAGGGAAGGGAAAGTGGGACAAGGAGCAAATGAAATCATCTCAGTGCTTAATACTCAGAGGTCTGCACTGCCAGAAGTCTTGTGTGTCCTGTTTTCTTTCTGTCTCATTTGCCATCAGCACCACTTGTTTTCTCTGCAGAGCTCCTCAGAATTGCCGTCCAGCATTAGTGGCAAAGCTATAACCACAAGTCCCTGCACACTCCTGCACCTATCACAATGC